AAAAACTTAAAAAAACTCTTTCCTGTCTTTCTCAAATTTCCTAATTAAGAAGTAACAAAAACAAAAACCTTTTATCTTTTTCAAACATCTATAACTAAAGATCCATCATTCAAAAGATATCCAAAATCGAAGGTATATATCTTTACAACATTACAACCTAATACTTCACTTTATTTTATAGAACAACAAATAAAAAGCAAAACAAAAGGTCCCTTGCTTCCAGGGAGAATACAAAGCAAATCAACTGATTCACAGTTAGGTCTCAGGAAACTAATACTACTTCCATCCCTATAGCCAAGCCAGTATCAGATTAAATATTTTTCTTGATACTACAGGAACTCTTAGGAGGCCAGATTATATCCAATAAATTAAACAATCTTGTCACCATCCTAAATGTTAGAAGATTCTCAAAGCTCTCTATTAACTAAACAAAGTTAAAATTTCTTACTGTACATACAATCAGTCTAAAAAACCAAAATCAATTTGCCCTCTACAAATTCTTAGTTACATGAACATGTATCAAACTTACAACAACAAAAGCTAATCTATACAACCAAAATTAACAACACATGGAGTCAACAACAAACACATACATAAATCATCAAACTATGTGTCAACTACCAAATTACATGTCAACCACATGTCAAACTATCTATTTACATGTCAACTGCAATAGATCACATAAGCAAAGCATCAAATCGAGTACTACAACAACAGATTGAGCAACAAAATATCAATATATCTTTCTATACTAGCAAAACATATATCAAAACACATTAGCACATCTTTGTTTACTAAAATATATTCAAATTTTATAACAATCCAATAAAAATATCTCAATACATAAACAAAAAAGTACCAATAGTAGCAATTCTTATTACAATACCAGCCTTAACAACAATCACATCTTCAAACCAATTTCTAACTAATTCAATATCAACACCTTTTGATATTATACTAATTGAAAACAGCAAACAACAAGTATCTATTATTTATTTGAATTTCAAAGGCCAAATTGCAGTAACTAGTCCATCAAGCTTCTCTATCATATCTTACCTACCAAACTATTTTACAAGATAACTTACAGTATATCCACTATCAATGTAATAAGATCCAACTCTGAAAATCTTTCACTTTTTAAATCAAATTTCATCCCAGTCAAAACAAAAAGTACTTTATTATTCAAGTATTAATTCTTAAAGAGAAATTAACCAAACATCTAGATGAATTTCATAACTTTCAAAACTCCTTCCAAAGTATTTTTATAAATAATGGTTCTTTCAAAAATTTCATTTTACAACTGGTTCTAGAAAAAGGTTAGAGCTATTTCAAGCATGTTCCTTGGAATATGACTAACATAATAAGATTAACCTCAGGAGAGAAAAAAACATTTCTCATTAAAGCAATATGTCAGATGAACAACTAAAATCTTCTCTTAACATAAGAGGTCTTAATGACTATACAAAATTCAACTGCCTCTTACTATATATCAAAAACAACAACTACAATATTTTCCATCTTTCTAAAACAAAACTTCAATTTAATAAAAAATCTCTTACATAATTGACAATTTCATTATACACTTAAGCAATCTTAATCAAAGCTAAGCAGAAGTCTCTATAATCATAAACAAAAATCATTCAAACCATTTTTATAAAACTTCTGAATTCCAAGATTACATTATTTCAATATATCTACAATTCAAACCAAAATAAAAATATATATTATACAAGTTTATCTCCTATATGACGCAAACATAAGGAAAAAAACCACTTCATATCTACAAACACTCATTAATAATAATCTTTTAAAAAATATTTTATATATTATTATAGATGACTTCAACTCAGCATTCAATTCAATTGACAGAATATAAAAATCTAAACCAAAACACAAAGCAACTATCTACAAAAAACTAAAAAGAAACTATATCGATATACTATGTCTTTTCTTTTCTTTAAGGATCCTAACGATTCTTTTATATTCTGTATTCAATTCTTAAGTTTATATTAAATTTAATAGGTGAGGTATACCCCACTATCATTTTTAATAGTGTTCTGAACCTCATGCGATTCTGTTCGATTCTATTCGATTCCAATTTTTGGAACTATACTTTTCTTACAAAACCAAATATATTTTTTCAGAACCTATAGGCCAAAGTCATATTGATCAAATCTGGATATCAAATGATATCAACTCACAATTTATTAGAACACAAATAATTAACACCAAACCAGAATTCCATAGTAACTACAAAATTATTACACTCATATTATTCAACTTTTTAATAACAAAAACTATCAAAAAAACATCCACTATTTATTTCAATTTTAACAAAGTTACAATAGAAAAATGAAAAAAAATAAATCAATCATTGACAATAATTTAAAGCTACTTTCTGAAGAACTAAACATCCAAAAAACCTGAAAACCCTTCAATTCTACCATAACTAAAACTCTAAATAAACTAGTTTCAAAAACAAAAACTTGCAAAAATACACCACAAATTTTTAGCAAAAAAGACACTATTCTTCATAAAAAACTACAAATTATCAAATTTCATATATATAATCTTATATTACAATTTGCTAAACTACTTGATCAATCTATTCTAAAAGACTTAAAGAACTCAATCTCCACTATACCAACAAACATGACCAAATCAACTTTCTAAAAAAACTATTCAAAATTATTCATAAATTCCTCAAAATCAAAAATAACCTACAAAGAAAAGAGACAATCGACAAAATTATAAACCAACTAATAATGAACCTTTAAGACAAACCAAAAATAATGATAAAACAACACTTAATCACAAAAATCAACATGCCTCTTTCACAAAAATTATTGACTCCACTAATGATAAAGTAATTACTAATATATCTCAAATTTATCAAATAATCACAAACCACTACAAAAATATATTCTGCAAATGAAATATCAACAACGAACTCTTTCACAAATGGAAAAAATATTATTCTTCACTTAACAATATCAAACTTTAAATATATTGTTGGCATGAAAATCCAGCGAGTCGGTTGCTCAAGCTTGCCTCACACTATGTAACAATAGGATGAATTTTTTTCTCAAAAGAGGCGTGTAAATTTGGTCTGAGCTGTCAGATAATGACACAAATCTACCAATAGATCCAGTGTCACAAGGGGGTTGTAACAGGTATAGCAATCCCACGAATATAGTGTGTTGGGGTTGTGTAATGGGGCAAATGTTCAACAACAGAATAGAATGGATAAGGAAAAAGTTGCGCAGTACCTATATTGATTGCTCTTCCTTTTTGCCTATACCCTTGTTACTTATATACTTATTTGCAATATATACTTTACATTTTATACCTGATATACACTTTATATCTTATATACAAATTATACTTTCTATATATTTTCTCTATATTTTCTTTACTATTTTTTTTCACGCTAACAATATAATATACTTATGAGCCCAATCATTAAATATAAAATTACTGAAATCATCAACTTACTGCCAAACAACAAAGCATCTGGACTCTACAAAGTCATATATTTTTTCATCAAACAAACTCAAAAAACACTTATTTCTTATCTTCATATAATTTTTAACCAAATATTATCCATGCAGGAAATCCCAACAGACTGGAAAAATTACCATATCTTTCCAATCAATAAAAAATTATAATGGAAATACAATATCCAGAAAACAAGACCCATAGCCCTAGTTGACTCCTTCAGGAAAATACTTATCAAAATTCTAAAAAAAAGACTTAGCCATATTCTAATGACTTATAACATTCTCCAAAAAGCAAACTTTATAGGTCTTCCCAATCAAAGCACCTTCAAACCAATTCAAATTCTCAATTCAATCTATAATCTTCACAAACTCATACAAAATAAATTATGAATTCTTTCTCTTAACATCATCACAGCCTTTGACTCAGTAAACTTGAATATGCTCAAATAATCAATGCAATATCTTCAAATACCAAACTCCTTTATTTCCCTAACCAGTAACATCTTCACAAACTGCATATGTCAAATAATTATAGACTCAGCCTTACATAACAAATAATCATTCCTGATAGAATTGATCAAGAAAAACCACTTTCACTTTTCTGGTGGATGATTTTTTATGACTTCCCAATTATTGCTCTAATCCAACAATTATCACAACTTAAACATAATACTATTACATATATAAATGATCTCAACCTGCTTGCAAACTCAAAAACTGAAATTAAAAACAACGTAAACATAGCAACAGAATTTTTCAAACTTAATGATATCAAAGCCAACCCTACCAAAACAAAACTAATTACATTAAATAGCAAAATATCAAATAAAAAATTTTTTCAAAAAACAATCTTCATCTCTCCAGCTTTCAAAAAAGAATCAATTAGAATTCTAGATATTTGGCTTTTCGAACACAGCATTCTTATATCCAGTTGTGACAAAATTCTTAAAGATACTGAATCAATTGCTAATCCTTTAACTTAAAATTTACAACAAAGTACTTATTCCATAAATAGAATACAAATTACAAACAACCTTTTTTACATCAAACATGTTAAATAAAACACAAAGGAAAATCAACTCAATAATTAAACACAAATTCAATATCAAAAAGACACTTCCACAATTATAGTTCTACAGTCTACACATTTTTAATATCAAGCCCATATACAGACAACCACAGTTAACATATTTCTCTTGGATCCCATGACAGTAGACGCTCTGAACTTATTTCTTGGCTTCCAAAATATCTTTGACATTACTGACATTGACAGACTAGAAGTTATGAAAAAAATGAACAGACTAAATCTCAACTAAAAGCTTCATATACCTTGGAACAAAATTGACATTCAATTTGACAATAGTGAGAATTTTTTCTCTCTAATCTAAAAAACCGAAACCTCCAAACCCCCCAAATTCATCTGCACCCAATAAAGCAATGAGCAATGACAATGATATGCAAGACAATTGTTCTCCCAGTGCACATCATGAACATGACAGCATGCCCAACACTAACACCAGCACAGCAGTGCATCAAACAGATATGAAAATCAATAAGCAAAGCATGAATCCAAGCCAATATGAACTAACTAACTCCACCCTTTCCACAAATCCAACCTCATGGGCAGATGAAGTTGACGAAGAAACAACAGATAGATCAACACCCCCTTTACTATTGAAGCTGACATCAGGAGAGTGAGCCCTCTGAACAAATACTCAAAGATCCTTGAGTTATGTAGAGAAGTTGACAAATGCGACAGAAACACTGACGCAATCATCCAATAGTTCCTTATATAAGAAAGAATAGCCCTTCTGAAGTAAAACCCACAATCACTGCCATTATGATCAAACTTGCCTACAGAGATCGCACCTTTTTCAGAACATTAGTAAGGGACAATCTCCTCAAAGGCAAATACCAAATCGAATACGAAAACTTGGAAAAAGGATTTCACAATAACTATCTCAAAGCAAATAACATTGGTTATATCAATAGATCAATAAAGAAAAAAATTAGGGCAATAATCAACAAAGCCCTTTTCATTACATACTTCAAATTCACTGACCTTACAATCTTAAAACACTGGCAAATAGCTCAAATTCTTGACTTCGGCTTCAACTTTTTCATTGACCCCACTGTGGAAAAAATCGACTATCAAGCTATAATTCAAAAATGTAAAGAAGCAATTAAAAATAAACTCTCCACTCTTCTTACTCTTCCTGAACTTGTTCTATCCTCAATCAAAATCAAACTTTATAAAGCCATTTCAATTACCTCTCCCCGATATACAACCAAAGTAGTCGATAGCCTCAGGGCCTTTTACAACTTTGATCGACTTCTTGAATCATACTTTGTGCAAAGACCACCTCTACCTGAGAATCCATCAGACCTTAAATTTGAACTTAGAAGTATTTTCCCCCTGACCAAGCAAAGTGACCTCAGAAACTTAAGAGATCTTACTGATAAACTAAGGGACCACTATTATGTCTTCTCCAAGCTACCTGAATTATACTTCAAGCTTCCCTCACCAAAAATACTTCTGCCAGTATTATATATAAAACTGCCATCTAATCTCGTCTGCCATTTTCCAGTAGAAAGCAACTCCGAAAAAATTTGCTCTGCCACACAACTTCTTAGAGACAACAACTTTGCAGTTCGTTGTCTTCCTTTGGATTACATTCAAGTCAAGCACCCATTTCCACCGGCATTATGGTTCAGTGAAAACAACTCCATCTCTTTACCAATTCAATCACAAGAGAAAGTCAAGGATCTTATCGCTACACTCAAACAAAAATTTTTCATCAAGCTGCCCCTGGGTCCTGAGTAGATCAGCAAAAACCTAATTCAGAATGAAAGACCTTATATCCCTGAAAAAGTCGAAACACTTAAAGAGCAACTAAACATTACAGATGAGGAACTCTGCAGAGACTCGCCAACACATCTACAAATCTTAAAAAAAATCAAAGAAACCTATCAAGGACAAATTTCCAAAGAATGGATCTTGCCAGTTCGCCCACTGCTGCCCTCCATAGAGGAAACTAACAACCATTTGAAACAAAACAACATCAGTATTACATTGCCATTAATTGAAGACCAATACCTAGCTGGTGCCATAAAACTATTTAAAAACTACTTTCACTTCAACAGCCTCCCTGCCACCTTTATTATTGAAAAAGAGTTACCTGACTCAGACTTGACTCTTCTCCCCTGCCTCTTTTAATTATAATAACTTTCACAATCAACTTAATACCCTTCCTTTTAACAACATCTCTACACTCTAATTCTTCACCAACTATAAAAAACCTTCTTACAATCACAACACTCAATATTAAAGATCTCAATCAAAAAGGCAAGCTAAATAAAATCATCTACGCTATTAAAAATAAAAGAGCAATCTTTTGCTGTACTGAAACAAAAATATTATCAAATCACCAGTTGCCAAATAGAATAGGAGACAAAGTCATAATAGCAAGCAAACCCAGTTCCTCTGCTAGCAACGGTATATGCCTTATATTCTCTTCAAATATAGCATGTCACATCTTCTAAACGTATACTAAAAATGAATACTGGTGTGCAACCTACTTAAAATTCAAGCCTAAGGTTGATGTCATTATAATTGCAATATACCTTCCACATGACAGAGCAGACCACTGTACAGCAGTAATGTCTCTCAAAAACTTTCTCACCAATAACAAAAACAAACATCTTATTGTTACTGGAGACTTTAATTCTTATCCAAAAGGTACCTCATCCATTAATGCTCTGACCATGCTCCATAAGCAACAGGTCTACAAGCTTATGGGAAATTTAATTGATATCACCAAAGTCACCAACAAGAAGCACCAATACACACATATCACAAACTCTAGCGCCTTAAGGCTGGACCAAATCTGGATCTTTGTAAACTTAGCAAGCAAAATGCTGAGTTACAAAGTGTCTGATCAATTATTCGTCCCTATAGACCACAAAATGATTACTACTGTACTTGACTGGTTTGAATATAGACCTGATTGTATCTCTTTTACTACCAAAACCTATCAATTTGACAAAGCAACTAAAGAACAACTACAAGCTATGCAGGAGTCTATTGAACTTGCCTGCACTGG